GTGCATATTTTAAGGGGCAATGAATAATTTATTCATAAATTCTATATAATTTAATATCATAGATAAGTATATAATATGTCTTATACCTAGACTGACATACCGTCTGCGAATAGTTTTTCTTATATAATTATATTATATCATTGAATTCAAATTTAATACCATCCATTATACAGTGACCCACTTGTAACCTACAGTACAGCAGAGCAACATCCACTTACCCACCTTTTTTCAATTTAAATCAATATGTTAATATTTAGAAACGTGTGCGCCATCAAAGACTACTTATTATATTATAGTGAAACACATTTGTATAGTCAACTAAGCTTTAAATCCGAAGGAACATATAAAAAAAAAATAATAGCGAATGCAACAACTTTCATGACATAATGATTACTGTTATTATTAGATAAAAAAATAAAATAATAATAATAAAAAATAAAAACGTAGGTGTGCTCAAAAGTCGGTACGTAGGTGTATATAGCGTGTAATATAATTTTATTATCCTATTGACTTACATCACTTTTAAGACTTCTTGACAATATCAACGTTATTCATAATATAAGGTGATCCATTGAAGTGTCTACACTGATAATTTTGAAAAGTGTTAACTTATTTAAAAACACGTTATTTTTACATAATTTATATTTTGATTTCGTTGTTAATTGTTTTATTTATTTTATTGAATTTTTAACGTTATCGCTGTTAAATATTTTACTTTTTTGAACGACAACATATTTTTAATTTCATATTCTGAGGTATAATATTTTTTGGGTAATTTGGGACATAAAAATAGGATCTCAAACTAGTAGTTTATTAATAGGAGCTACCTGTTTAAAATTTTGACGAACGGAGTAGGTAGGGATATACCCCTCGTAAAAAAATATTAAATACCTACTGATATGCAAATAATTAACTACACTTTCAAAATTAAATTTATATAAATCATAAAATACTCTGAAAAAATATTATGGTATGGAATATGAAATAATAATTGTATGTAATCATTCAAAAAAGTAAAAGCTTAAACAATCATAACGACTGCAATTAAAATAATAATTTTAAAAAGTTTAACTTTCAATGTGTTTTTTTCGCAGTGACAAAAAAGTTAAAGCATTTCGAAATAATGTTTGTAGACTCTTGAATAGATCACCTTGTATATCATATTATTATTAAAATAAATATCGTGTAGGTGTGGCATATACGATTTTATATATTTTTTTTTTATTCAGAATTTTGTACTTTACGTGAAGGGGATAATTGAAAAAAAATAATAACAATAATTTCGTACAGAGAGCATCAAAATACGACCGAATGAGTTCTTGTAGTAAACATGTTTTTATTCGTCAACTGTAATATAATAATACTATATTATATTACGGCGTACTGTTATTTACCCATAGCAAATTGTTTTTGAGTAACGACTCCGTCGCATTCTTTCGTCCGTTATTCGTGTACGCCATATTTTAACGACATGTAAAATCTTAAAAATATTGCTTACTGCAGTACACTTATACGAGCGGGGACCGGTGGTCGGGAAGTTTTTATCGTAATGTACCTACATAAAATAATAAACAATGTTGATTATTACCACGTTTGCAGTGCACTCGCGTAAACGCCACATAATATTATTTTACTTTACGCTGCAAAAACCAAAATGCGTTTTGTATGATGAATAGAGCTAAACGTGAACATGACTTTAAATGATATATTTACCCCCCCCCTCCCACTGACGGGTCTCTAAAAAAGTTACGGATTTTTATTGACGAAACCAAAATTTGCAGACGAAATCCAAATTTTTGCAATTGTGATGCTGTAGAACGTACATAATATTATTATTATATTAATTGGAAATATTACGTTTGTATACTTTTAAATCAGAGTAGGTATTTCTTGTTATCCAATAATTGTCAATAGTAAATTATTCACCTCTTACTTAATACTTAAGAAAATATACTCGTATAATATATATTAGCTATACGCATCTGTTTCGAAGGAATGAAATGCAGGAATCGATTTTTTTTTTCTGTACTCTTACCGCTCAAGTCGATCGTCAATAGTAATTATCTTTCAGTCGTTGAATAGATTGTTTTTATCATCTTCAGTTTTATCTGATCAAATAAATGGGTCGGCGTTAATTCAATTTTTAACGCATACACGCATATTGATAATATTTATACTCGTATTATACCTCTACCAACTGAAAAGCTAAAACTACGGTATTAGGTTGTAAACAGTTAATCAGTTTTATATTATACCGGTTGAGATAATTTTAGTTATCTATAAACGTATAGGTAATAATATATTGTATGATTTTATTATAAAATACACTCACAAAATATTACACAAATACTCGTACATTATATTATTATATAGTTTTTGATTGGACGAGTTTTTCATCCGCTCATAATATTTGGTTATGTAATTATTTTACTTAACAACGAAATGCAATAACAATAATAAGATAATAGTAATAATAACACAAATTCAAATTTAATTCACTTAACGAATTAAATACTTCCACGTATTTTAATCTTGTATTTGAGCAAAGTCATAATAATTAAAACATCAATACCTAGTAATAATAACAATAGCCATAATAATAAGAACAAGTATAATAACTACGTCCGTGCATAAAATCTCAACAAGATAATTTGTAAATTAATCGTGAGTAATGGTGATAAAACGTCCGCACTTGGTCTCAAATAAATTCGACTCATTGGTCTTACAGCAATACCGTTCTGGCGTGTAGGGAATAGTCGGGAAGTTGAACATTTTTGAATCACGATTAAATCTCTATTGGTCTAAAGAAATTAGAAATATTATATTATACTCGGAGCTTACACTAAACAGGGACGGTGATAATAGCGACGACGACGACGACATTCGACGAAAAAAATTAATATATAAACGGAAGTTTCACGATGATGGCGGCGGCGGCGGCGGCGAATAATAATATTATTATAACGTCCCCACAACTGTCAACCGCAGCCCCGGACACCATAATTATACACAGTCATCGACAATAATTTAGCCCTCGGGATTTCGTCCTCGAATATTGCGATGATGATATTATTATTATTAAGTAGGTACTCTGCAAAGTCATATTGTAACGTCTCTCAGCTGTGAGGCCGAAAGCGCACTGGCAGCCCACCGCGGACAATGTCAAGGTCGGGAAAATTATAATAACGGATATTATGACGTTATTTTAGTTTCCGTCAATCGTCTTCCGGTTATGGTATCATTAGGTATTGTTATTACAGCCCTCACAGCCAGTGGGTGTAACGAAGATTCGACATAAACGCAAAAGACGGACTTTATAATAACGATAATTACGTTACGGTGTTTACGATACAACAATTATAAGTTGTGGTGTTAGATCTTACTGTGTTTTGATATAGTACGCATATCGAGTGTGTATGGCGACGAAATTAGTATTATAATTATTATTTATTTTACATCGTCGCGTATTATATTATGCGGTTTCCTGCACCAGGATCTGCAGCAGTCGTCGTCCTCGCATCTATTGAAATAAACGATATCGTCAACTAGACGATAAAAATCCTCTTCCTACACACGACCCATATTATACTCTGCAGTTATGATAAAAACAACAAAAAAAACGACGAGACTTTGGTTCGCGTCTGCGTTTTTTGACATTAAGCAAGTGTTGTGATATTATATTATTAATGTACCGCCGCCGCACAGTGCATCGTTATTATCTTCAGCGGATTTCCTGCAGCACAATGAAATGTCGTGTATTGATTGTTGTCTGTTCGTTATGCGATTACAAAACAAAATATTTGTATATTATACTGACCTCAAAACTGCAGCGCCTGGCACGCAAAGAAAAATTCTAGTTTTTTGGTTTGCTATTTTTTATTAATTTAATTTTTTTATTATTATTTTTTTTTTTAACTAGCGCCAGATTATATAAATCGGCCCCGAATAACGTTAATTTTCCACGACCTTAATATTAATAATAATAATAATAATAATACAAATAATAATAATAATATAGTACATGGATACATAATAATTAATAAGATTCGATAAAGAAATACGGAAACGGCGAATCGATCGGTTTTCGCCTTATTAATAAAACAACTACAACAGTAATTTACCAATCACAAAATGTATTTTAAAATAATATAATACACCGAAGGGCTGTAGACGCTGATGCAACGGTCGCGCGTCGATTTGTTTTTACAACATCATGTAGATAGTACTTTAAAAAACACTACAATGACTATACAATACAACAATATTATTATTTTACGCCGATAATGCCACTTGAATATTGAATCTATTGAAAACGATCCGCAGCCCTTCGATCTCACAAATGTTAACTATTTTGAAATAATTATGCGTTTGGGTGATGTAGATTACATAAAAAATATTCACACACATATAAATATATATATATGTCTAAAAAAAAAATATATATAAATACTAGATTGTATCCTAATTAAGTAATAAAAAGTCACTGGGTAAAAAAAAAATATATATGTATATACCTATGCATGCGCGATATTCGTGTTTACGCACAAATGGTCCTCCACATGGTCGCGAGTCCGTTAGATGTAGTCACGTGACACGCACACACACAGACATACGCACACGTACATTGTACATAATATAATTTTGGACGGTAAATTTGATTAATTTATGTCACAAAAGAATGCTGAGCAAATATTATCGTTTTAATCTAAGAAATCGTCATTATAACAATATAATACACATCACGATGGTTATAGGGGGAGGGGGCGGCGTTGTGAGGGGGATGGGTAGATACAATTAGGGAGTTGGGTGTGGTTTGGGAAATCGGCGTTCGCTTTTCCGGACGGATTCGTTCGCGGTCACCCCGTTTCCGCTACAGGCCATACGAAAAAAAACACAACACAGACGTCCGGGACGGGGGGGCGAGAGGACCCCGAGAGTGCTTGCGGAACGACGGGGGACGAAGGGGAAGTGACGGGGAGGGGAACTTTGGGCAGCGACGCTCAGCCGCGCTTGAACTTGAGCACGGCCATACTGATGGACAGGAACAACACTATCCACGAGATCGTGGACACGAAGCCCAAGTACACGTCGGGTTCCAGCAGGTTCCAGCCACGGGTCAGTATGCTCCGCAGCGACGTCGTGGCCATGGTCAGCGGCAGACAGTAGCTAACGTACCTCAATAGGATGGGCATGCCCTCCACCGGCCAGATGACGCCTGGAAAAAAAAATTATTGTTCGTTATTATAATAATTAATTATACTGTGCGGCATGATAAGCATGAGGCGACGATGTTATATTATCGATTGTCGCTCCAATATAGGTATTGTTATTACTATGTAAACATCGTTGTTCGCGATAAAATCATTAAACGTGAGTGTACACTATATAGGTAGGTATTAACATACGTATTAATTGGATCGCAATTAGGATTTAGCGGTGTTATAACTACAATGACTGTAGCGGCCTACGTCGAAATAATTAACAAACGTATTAGTTATTACACTAATATTATAATGTTGAGAGTGGCGGAAATGACGAGATTGAATGATTCGCTAATGGATTCCTTTAGTAGGGGCACTTGAAACGTAATTTTTAGGGTCACTTGGCCGTTCCAGTGTGTACCACTCGTTACGTATATCCGCATAGGAAGTACCTATATTATAATATACTGCAAAGACTCGACTTCTCGGACGTTGTTATGTCGTCATCCGTTTGGAACCGACATAATTGTGTATACACGACTAAACATCATACAAATACATTTATACTGTGCAGTATGTCTTTATCGTCATCATACAAAATATAATTGCAATAGAACGAACTCGTTGACGAATCATTATACGATTCAGGCCACCTCCAATATTATTATATCACATTCAACTAGTCTAAAAGTAAGATCGAGGTAATAAGTTGTGTGTGCTCGAGCTTACTTACAATCAATAATTTATTAATACAACTTTTGTTATAATATATGTGTCTTTCAGCCGTTACAAATAAAATGAAAGAATTCTATTGTTTTTATAAAAACAATGAGTGTATGTCGAATAATACTCATTATTATTATTCAACGAGTTAACACAAAATGTTTACTTTGGTTTTTGTAAAAAAAAAATTAAATAATATTTAAATTATTAGTCTTCTGCGTTACGGCAAAATACTTAAAATTCTTTATAATATGATTGACATAATATTATCATCGCCATTTTAAAATTAGTTTCCGTACTGTAGTGCTTTTTTTTCGAGCGAACGGCGTACTGGCGTGTTATAAAATTGTATTTATCATACAATAAAGGGGAACCCTATAACTTGTTTGCTATGAAAAAAAAAATTATATAAAAAACTAAATAAACATAACTAAGAATGTCGTAAGACGGATAATTGAACTGGAGCGATAAATAGAACGACTCGCGCAAGAATCGCGTGTACCAAGAACTGCGGTACGCTTCGTTTAATACGGACATAATATTATTCTAATGCGTAAGCGATGAGATGCAATCAATATAGTTCGATTTTTATGATAATATTACGATATTAATTTCATACGACCGAATCGACGCCGGGTGACTATAATATATAGGTGCAACTGTCTACAATTGAACGATGAAAGTCGGACACAAACGAAAAAAATTATATGACGAGACATATTATCTTGCATGGAAATATTAGGTATATTATGTTTTTGGCTGAGGGTTACGTAATAATTCACACGTTTTGCTAATAATTTACACAACGTGAAACGGGCATATACTGTACGTATGAGGTATTGAGGTGTGCTGTCATATTATTATTATATTATTGCCAATTAGCGCGATACAGACAGTGTGGGGTCGCGTGGTTTTAATCGAACGGAACTCATTGAATCGTCAATAATTATTATTATTCGGTAAGGACGGGCTTGGAGTATAAACTCGAATATAATACACTTCAAATTCAGCTGCTCTACATGACTACACGGCGACGACACTATAATAATACAGAGTCTCGTACTCCGGGACTCCTAACGATGGTAGTTATGTAAGAGGACAGGACTGAAAATATCTTTGTTTATTTTCAACCGTCATTATGTAATGCCGACTAGCCACGTATTTTTCGATCGTTTCGTATCTTATATCTGGGAGGGGGGGGGGGGGTGTCTAAGCTGGTGTCTCTGTTGTCATCGATATTTTTATTATTTATTTTCGGTTGATTTCGTCTCAACCATCATTGATTTGTCAAAAGTACTTTTTTTAGTTGGCCTTTGGTACGCAACGACCAAACAGCATAATATGCAATAATACAATTTATTTTTAAATAGGTAGTAAATAGTTTTAACGTTGAGACGATTTTGTGTTAATATATTTTAATTTATACAAGTTGGAAGTAGGTTATAATCACGATAATATAACCTACTACCTATATTATGGAAAAATAATTAATTGGCAAAATAACATTAATTGCGTGATATTAATTACGTAACTACTTGTCACACTGAGCGTGTCGTGTATGCAATGTGTATTATGTATTGGTAATCGCAAAATAAACTAATATGACAAAAGTCCTATTTTTTATTTAAACAAATGTTTAGTAAATATAAAAAAATTATTATCATCAGCGTTTTTTCTTTCGAATATTACCATATCATAAATATAATAAAATATAAAGGCTGTACCATCTAGATTAAAATGAGAATAGTTTATCAGAAAGTAGAATATTTTTTTATTGTTTTTAATTACAAGTGAAAAAAAAAATTAATATCGTATAGTAAACCACTTTAAAAAATGCGTATTACTGTCGTATAGAATATAGAGAACTAGACTTCTTGACCCTGATTTCAGAGTATTTTTTTTCAAGTGGTGTACCTACCTTTATTGGGAAAATATGCTACTATGGATCACTACAACTATGTGAAATAAAATAAAACTATATCGACACATAGAAGTGTCTTCACTGGAAGGCTTCTTAAATCCGTCCTTTCCTCAAGCCACTTATTCAATTATCTATTTTACTTATTGTTCATTTTATTGTAACAGATTGTAAATAAAAATTATAAAAAAAAAAAAAAAATATCGACACATAAACTGAAATGAGTATGATATTTTTCTTTAATAAACGATTTGTAAAAAATTATGATAAAAAAAAAGTTACATACCTACTCTTGAATTAAATTATTTAAGTATATATTGCGGTGTATAAGAAAGAAAAGAAACGAAGTCGGAACGTACAAACACTGTGTGGGAAATTTACTTTTTACCCGGATCGCGGTAAAATTACTCTGTTTCAAAAGCTTACATTAACATTTTATATTTTTTGTTCCGTATACAGTATACGTTTGTAAATGATGTACATTTTAGCCCCCTGAGTTATGTAAATGTACACATTATTTCATTGTAGTACAACACTATTCGGTAAGGCACCTGGCACCTATATATGTTTTATATTTGAGTAAACCGCTCGACCTCAAATGTTTGTCGAGAGTTTAAAATGATAAATATCACAAAAATATATTTTTTATACCACACGTCGAGAGCTCAATATTAATTCTAGTGTACCTACCTAATTAAAATTTGATTAGTTAACATTTACAACAGCGTGTAAGTCGAAGGTTACGGTGACATTGATATTTATTGTTTACGATGGGCGATATTTCGAAGGTAATATTCGAGATTGCTAACAAATATTAAATAAACAATCATAATATTTTATTGTTTTCCTCCTATGCATGTGTTACGCATTTACTAACTGTACGAAGTTTAGTAAATTTGTTTAGATTAAATCCTAATATTGTGTGATATATGGTTCAGAACTGTATATATGCACATACCACTGAGCAGAAGTGTCGGGTAAAAGCTTCCCAGGGCCAACTGGATAGCGTTTCTTTCCAGTTCACAAATGGCTGATATTACGAAACCTGTAAAAAGAAAAGTTATACATGGTCCGTGAAAACTGTTGATTTATGTTTCACTTACCGAAGCACATGCCGCACAGACCCTGCAATATCGTGAGGGTAATCACAAGAGTAATGTCTCCTTTGCATTCCACGCCGAATACAATAATCATGAATATGAGTACAAGTGCCGTCTGTCCACACATGACAACGAACTGCGTAATGACATGGGAGAACAATATTTCTAACGGCGTTACACCTGCGGAAAAAATGTTGGGGGAAAAAATTAATTTCTGTGTGTAAAAAATGTTTGGCAGCTCATGTTTAGCTTGTTTACGCTGGGGTTCAGATATAATAATATATAGGACCTCCAATACCTATGATCGATATACGAAATATGATGATGAAAGTTGCGAAAGTCATACTATTAAAAAAATATAATCAATGGCGTTCGAACTTATTATTTTTCCCGACAACAATAAAACCTTTTTCCGTTTCAGTCGTAACATTTATTTTTCGAAATGGAAAACTGCAAGCGATACTATACAGTCGCACTCGTTATAAGACGTAAGATCTGTGAGTGGGTGTAAATTATGTAAAATGAAAAGGAAAAAAAACACGTTACGCATTCAAATGTCCTATGTAAATACTGGTACCCTCAACAATTTTATTGCCACCGCGAAAACTTGCGCCAAGATTAAAAGCCGTAAAACATATCTGATCGTTTTATCGGATGGTGTGTGGATAGAGGCGGCTAAATATTCATACGCTTACGCCGCAATGTAACTTTGCAGCAGTATTATACGTGATAATACACAGCCAACAAAGCGCGAAAACCCCGCAAACTGCAATAATGGTTTTATATTTTTAGCTAAAAACTGAGATCGTAATATTTACCGGCAACCCAACTTCTGTCCAGCAGACCCTCGGTCCGCTCGATGATCAGCGCCGAAGACGTAAGTGCGACAGCCAAGAAGAAAACGATTCTAGATAGACGATAAAAACAATATTAATTTTATAAAGACTTTAACAGACTAGAAAACGTAATTATACGTTATTACGGATACTCACGTTAAAATAACTCCTGGCGCTACGAAATCCGTGAAACTGGGATCACTACTGCCGTATATTGGTTCCTTGAACTGTGTACAGAAGGTAAAACAATAATATGACATTATGATAATCGTTACATGTTTTTTAATTTTTAAATATAATATTATAAATCCCGAAATTCACCTGAATCGGAATGTCGGCGAGTTTGGGATTTTGCTCACAGCTCGACAGCAATCCTTGTCCAAAGTCTCTGTAAGACAATTGCAAGTCTCTGTTCAACATCAAACCGATCTGCTGGTCTGAAAAATGGAAAACGAAATACAATATAAACAACCGGTTGCGTTCGTGGTGATTTTTAAAAGGTGAAACAATTAATCAGCAGTCCAACACTTACTCGACATGTCAAGCCACACGCGCACTTCACTCTGGTCCAATGTTTCTTCGTCAGATTCTCTGCCCAACGCCATTCGTGCGACGAGTGCGTCGGTAAAGTTTTCAGTGAAGTAAAGAGCTCCCCAGGCGTCGCCCACCTTAACAGCGTTTATGGCTGTCTCGGGGCTGTCATAATAGTCCTGAGAAATAGTAAAATTTGTAATCCAATATAATTCACACGATGCGTAATAATTATGTTAATAATATTCCGATACTCACTAATATTACAGTGTCTTTTGGTAAGGCATTTAAGTACCTACACGAAAACATTTCAAGTGTACAGTTATCATAAATAGGACACTCCTTTGTTTCCCAGTTCATTTCCTTGTTGACGACAGCCAAATGTAAGCCTGTTGGATCTCTACCGATGGCCAAACAGAAAAGTATGACTTGCATCACTGGCAATGCAAATATGAATAACATCACTCTGTAAGTATAGTAAAATATTTTTATAATTTATTCAGTAATTTGTTCATAAGATATTTCAATATTTGTCGTCAAAATCAAATAAAAATTGCAGAATATGTGAATTGTATTATTCATCGATGCTCGAAATGCAGTATTAAACAATTATTATTAGATACAGTAGTCAACAAAGTGTGCATTAGACGCGTTTCAAAATGCAACGATACATTATTGTACTCCACACTCAGAGAAATACTGAAATACGTATAATACATAGTAAAGTATTGTATATATTAATAATACGGAGACCCTAAATAAACCTACCCAACGTTTCTCCACATTCTCAAAAAGTTCTTTTGCAACAGTGCCTTTGTTTTTCCTCGAGTAGTGATTTCACAACAACTAGAGTCGTATTGTGGCTCCATCATTTGCATCTCGGCCAATTTACCATTAATACCATTTGACTGCTCTTGCGCAAGCACCTCCTTTGATTGGTGGAAGTTCAAGCCTACTACACCGCTCTCTTCAGTTACGTAAACAGGTTCGTCCTTCTTACCCCAGTTCAATGTAGCCTGAAAAAGTAAAACCAATACAGTAAATTAGTCTTTCCGATAACAAAACGAAATGTGTGTTGTTTGCCTACTTAAAACGCCGTATTTAGAAACGACATTATTGTTATATCCCGAAACAATGCAAATAATAAATAATTACTTACGAGTGAAATGTTATTCGATATGTTGACTGGCGTTTCCTGCGGTTGTCCGTCCGTTCCTTGTTTTCTACTCAGTTTTAAAAACACTTCCTCTAATGACTGACAGTGATACATAGACAGCAATGCACGTGGTGATTCTTCGGCCAATAACCTTCCGCTTCTCATTAAACCGATCTAGACAAGCATCAATTTTTTTTTTACAGTATCTATTAAGTTTTACTTTATAATATTAACATACAATTAATATAATATAGTATATTATATTTAAATATTTCATAATATGTTGGAAAATATACTTACAGTGTGCGCTTGCCGAGCCTCCTCGATATAATGTGTAGTGATGATAACTGTTTTGTGTCCATCTTTTGTGATCTGAACCAGATGATTCCAAATACTAATTCACCAGACAATAATTTTCAAATACAATCAAAAAGAAATTATGAAATAATAAATAGGCTAAATAATATTGTACTCAATTGTTATACCTTTGACGGAGTAACGGGTCTACACCGACCGTAGGTTCGTCTAAAATCAAGAGTTCTGGATCGTGCATAAGAGCCACCGCGAATGAAACTCTTCTTTGTTGACCACCACTGAAACATAATGTAATTTTTATTACAATCAATTTTAAGTCATGAACGCTTTGAGTTTTTAAAAATTAATTACCTGAGATTTTTTACCAATCTAGACTGGCTGGGCAAATCTAAGAAGTTCAAAAGGAATTGAAGTCGGTCATTAATTTCCGACGTTTCCATACCAAATATCCAACCAAAATACATCATTGTCTCTTTGATGGAAAACTCTCCATACAGAGCTATTTCCTATAAACAAAATAAAACGTAAAATATTAATTTTATGTATAAATCATAGAAATATAAAATACCACAATTGTTTAGATAACCAAAATGTATATTATATGAAACACAACAACAACGAAACTCTATAAAATTGGCGTATTACCACTCAGAACACTCATACATTCGTAATTTAATTTCTAAATGTGTATGAATATTACAATAGCCTGTCCCACCTGGAAACAAAACTGCTGGTTTCGATAAAACAATCTTGTACTTTCCAGACGTTGAGTTTGTATTTACGACAATACTTCATTCTTACATGACATTTATAGTCAACGTGTATAGGATAATAAAAAAAAATATACGAAAACGATTTCCGTGAATTAATACATTTTAAGTTAAAAAATAAATAAACCCTAACAACTATAATATCAAATTATTTATGTTTGAGATTTTTTTTTCATAAATTAAACTTATTTTTATTTCCATAACTTTTAAATTACGCGGTTTTAGTATTTATATAATTTACACTATTTTACAATATTACTAACGATTGACGTAAGTATACAAAAGATAATATAAATATAATTCCGATTTAACATTGCTGTTATAACATCAGTGCCTTTTTTTTTTTACCAATATCAACATTTAAAAAAAAAATTATGGTCTAAATGTCCGATTTTATCCGTTACAGTCGGTGATTCTAGTATAGGAAAAAAAATGGTGTGCTGCACTGGAGAAATCGTGTTTCCACGTATACATTCTGAATACGAGAGTTTAAAATATATGTGTATCTCAGCCGCTCATAACGTTTATTATAACCACCAGAATCGGTAAAAACTAAAAATCCGTCAATACATGTGGAGAGACTAAAAATAGATTAAAAAAAAAATTAACAGTGTGTTATATAATCATATCCGACTACGTGCCCGTTGGAATTCATTTAGAAAATATCGTTTGTGGTTTAAGCAAAAACTATATATTATATTTTATAGACCTATATAGTCGCTTAAATTAATACCTGTGTTCAGCCACGATAAATAAGTAGAAAGCAATAAGTAGACATTTTGAAAACTAACTGTGGGAAAATTACTGTTTTAATGATTTGTTCAAAAACAGCTGTCTCGGAAAATATCGAGTTATAATTAAGGAGTTGTATCTCATCAAAAAATAATGCTTTGTGGTAATACTTTTTTTTTACTAGAGTGTCATTAGGGCTATAGATTTTTTCTATCTTAATTTCAATAGCCTTCAAAGGCAATAAACTTGTTTTCTAAATATTTTAGCGATTAGGACACAAATTATTCATCAAATCGTCTTCCATATTATTATAATCACTTGTCCCCCCCCCATCTATCGCAAGCTATCGATCATCATAAAATCCAGCACAATATCTAAAATACCAATTATGATGTCGTTACGAGGTCAGTAAAACGTTATGGATAATGACCAATGTTCAGTATTAAAATGTCAAATATAGACATAATTAAATGATGTAGTCTGTAAATATTTAGCAAAAAATAATAATAGGAGAATGAGTCCAAGAATAATAATTCTGTGAGTGATCAATATTCAGTAATGTATTGATGTCTGAAGAGTGAAGACTGAGCACTTTTTTTTGTCCTATAGAAATCTAAATTGTCATTACAAATTATTGATGCGACTTGGCGCCGAAGAATAATTTCTAAACAATTGACACGAATGTCAACTATTAACGTCATTCGAGTAATTGTCTGAAGAACGATTGAATACAAATTGAAAATATACAAGTGTCAAATATTATACCAGTAATTTGATGTCATTGATAAATTTTCAAAACTATAATACATTTGGTGCATACAATTATTATCAACTAATATAAACAAAATTTAACTTAACTTTTATTTTCAAGAACTATTAAATTAAATAGGTACCTATTTAAATTAAATCTATATAAATGAGAAATAAATACACGCGTACTTAAATTTAAGGCACTGAATTAAGTGCCTATAGGTACAAGGTAGTAATATTCGACAGCAATTCATTTTTTGGTATAATACCTACCAAGTAACAAGTACAACTATAATTGTATACATTATACTTTAGATTAAACAAATAATAAAAGAAAAACGGAATATTTTGTTATTTTTTTTTTTACATAAAACACAGTGTACTATACTAAAATATTTTTTGTCTCACACTATATTATTTAAGCGAATTAAAAACTACGCGTACTAAAATCAATAAATTACTATTGATCGTTTTTCGGAACATTTTTATGCATTCCCTTGAAACGTTTAATTCTTATTTTTTAATAATATGATAGTTGTAGAAGAATGAGGCATTATAGTACATAATCATGACAAAATTTAAAAATATGTCATTGAAACTATAGCTATATTTTTTGTATCACCTTTATATTATATTGTAATTAGAGTTTGAAAAAAAAATAATAACTAATAACTAAATATAACATAATATAAAATGTAGGTAGGTACTATACAGTATCGAGTAATTATAAGCCAATAACAAATCATACTGATAAATCCTATTAATTTATTGAAACCTTCAATTCAAAAAGGTAAATATTAATTGTTCCTTTATTTTATGCTGTGAATGTGTTACGGACACGGACGTTTTTATAAGTATGCACGTGTGTGAAAAAAATAACTTGAAATACGTGCTGCAGAATTTCAAAACATTGCGGAACAAATATGGATTCAAACATGTTCTCTGAAGAGTTGTCTTGTCATTGTTAATATAAGTTGACAATGTATTTATTTATTTATTTATTTGGTTTTTTTTAAACAAAAAGTTGTTACCGGAAAAATGAATATTATTATGAAAACTTATCATGACTTCAACTGTGCGCAGTAACAAATTCACATTGTGAGATAATATATTAATAATATTAGACGTTTTATTAATATTAATAAATAATAGTACATAACAATACTGTATAATATATTATACCGAAACATAATAATATGGCTCGTTGAATTAGATTTTAAGATTACGGTATTATAAATAAATGTACATTTCAAACTTTCAAAGGTATACTTGAATAAAAAAATACCAAAATACGTCATACCGACGGTCTATTTTGACGGAATAAAATACTGTCTGACAAACGTATTTTGAAACGATTATTCTATTAACGATTGAAATATTCAACACGTTAGTATTGTTTTAGATTAAAAACTTAGACTGATAAAATAAGTAGCAAATTTTCATAAAATGCCAGCCGGACTTAAATATTTTATTCTCAAGCCCGAAACTAACCTATTCGGCACATCGATACGAGTTTGAACGAAATTGTATAAGGTCGTAAGATATTTTTTCGCTAAAGGGATTTAGTGTAAAACCACGTCTTATCCCAAACCGTACCTACCTAATACATCACTATTATACATTCATATTACCAATGAATATAATATAGCATAATACCATGCATTCGTATATTATACATACAAGTAAAGTATTTGGGATATTTGTAAATTTGTAACTTAAGATACTGAAATGGTGAAAAAACCTTTATATCCAAAAAAAATAAATACCTATTGCGACTAATACATTTTTTCTACTCTTAGAAAATTATTTGTTCGAGTAAACAACTAAATATAGAGACTATAGAGAGGTGTTTAACAAACACTACTTAATATGATAAACAAAATAAGTAGTTATTACAATAATGACAAAATAATATCGTCTTACAAAAAGCACTTAATTTTTGCATAGGCTTTTTTCTTTATCAAAAAAAAAAAAAAAAATGAATTGCTAACTCATGGACCATTTTTGTCTTTAAAATTGAATCGTAACGAATAAGATGATAGTTATATAGTATAGTTATTGTTTTCTCATTATGCCACTAGGAAAAACTTGGTAATATGTGTCGTACAAATATTATAATTTATATTCAAACCCAATTTAGAATATTAGCTGGTATTGTTGATGAGGCGACTTGATTGTTTTACTTTCTAAGATGATCATAATATATACAGTAAGCTTTTCTAACACATTCTGACTAATGATTTAAGCAGTAAAGGGAAATCTTTAGTGACATACTTTTTAAATTAATATTATTATTATTAATACTATATTAATATAAACTTATAATTTCTTTGTAAAACTTTTAAAAATGCATAAGCTCAAATGGAAACTTATGCTACCGACCAGAAAAGAAGGTAGGTGCTTACTGGTTGCTATGCCAGCATTTGGTGAAGTATTTTTTCTTTCAAATAATGTCTTAAACGTTTTAAAATTAAAATTTCTTTAAACTCTGGGTGGGAATAAAATGTACTTATCAAAACTTCTAATTAAATTACAACTGCAAGATACGACGTACAGAAACTTTTTTCTCGTTTAGTTTTTTATTATTATTACTATATTTTTTTTTATATAAAACAGTAAACGTTAAGAAATCGCAATTGACAGTGTACGGAATGCCAATCAGACATCAGTCGGGTGGGCTTCACGCTAGTAAGTCACCTCGTTTCATTCTTGGCGTATTATTACTATTATTATTATCATATTATGTTGACTCCCGTGCAACGGGGTTATATTATTATTTTATTTTGTAGATATGTGCTAGTGTTGCGCACGACTCGGGTCGATGCTTCCCGCGGTTTTAGCAACCATTGCGAATAATGTAATAGCAACGATAGAGAATTATTATATATATATTTTTTTTTTAGTGTAAGAATATACTTATGTACAACACGTCAATATTAACTTCAGGTAATATGAGTTTTTCTGTTCGTATTTCCCACGTTTATCTGACGATTGATAACCGCGGCGACCGCTATCGAAGGGGGATAAAACCACTCGTCAACATAATATTATGGCTGCAGTATATCGTAGGTATAGGTACGCGAGATACTAAATATGATTTAATATTGATGATAAATGTATATCAAATGAGTAATGTTCAGCCTTGGCGGCGTCCTCAAAATAAAAAATAAAATTAAACGCTCAAGAAAAGCAGACTGCAGTTAAACGTGAACGCGTCTTTACGCCTTGAAAAGCTTCGGCCGACCGATCGACGATTTATCCGTGTCGACTGACCTTGCTCTCCCGACGACGACGACTGCGTATGTTGAGGACGTATATAGACGACGTTTTTACAGACTTTTGCCAAAACCCAAGGACCGTTTGCACGGCGTTTTCGCTTACAAGTCCGGCCAGGCCCGCGTTTTAGTCGATAATTTTTTTTTAAAGTAATTTCAATGAAATGCATGGCCCCAAACATAAAATCGATCGAGTTACAGATGTTTGAAATTTGAAGATAATCGGATTTGTTGAATGCTTAAAATTGTGGAATGTGCTCTGCGAACCCGCCGGTATATGATATTTTTACAGAATGTGTAGGTATTTTGCTATCACAGCAAACCGTATTTTGGTATAATGCTATCAGGTTTAGATAATTAGTTGCACATATTATTATATATAACACGGGGCACACTGTATAAAATATATTAGGCATTATTAAAATTTTTCAATATTATATTAATCACGAGTCACTGACACGTGGTGGTGGTCATGGAAATGGTAATGATAATAATAACGAATTTTTGTTTTCCCAACCAGGATTGTTCAGGAATCCGCCTGACTGCTGGTAGAACATGGGGCCCAACCACTTATTTTGCATTTAATAAAATTATAATATAATATTGTAATATGATATTATGTCCCGATATTTGTTATTTATTACCCGCGGCCATTGCTTCCTTACTCCTAATCCAACTTTTAAACAATTGCAGCGTATCACGTTTTTCCGGTTTTATCGCAACTGGTTTCAAACGTTAATATTATGTTGAAGTGCGGCGAGGTTCACAGATATTTCAAGCCTACAATTATTAGAAATATCCAAGTTTCTTTTTAGACCTAATTTTGTCTACTACCTTTCAGTATAAACCGTTATAACAATAAATCTGTATTTAATTTTCATCGAAAACGACTTCCAAATATTAAATTTCTTACCGTGATAAATTCCAGCCATAAATTATTTTTTTTTAAATAGTTTTTAAAAAATATTTTGGATGTATCATCTGTATAGAACTTTCACGGTTATACATAATTCTGTTTTTTTTTTTGTATCGTTTCGAATCGTTTTTTTCAGTTATTGGTTTTTTACTCGTCAATAGTATGACATTTTAATAAACATTAATTACCTGAGGCATGTATCCAACGCGTTTTCCGGGCACACCGCTTCCTTTTGTTCCGGGCTTTCCTCCAAGCACAAATATCTGTCCAGTGTTTAGTCGCCTCCGGCCAACAATGCAACTGAGCAATGTCGTCTTACCGCAACCACTAGCTCCCAGAAGTCCATATCTATAATTAGTAATAAGGTCTGTGAGAAAAATATTGCAATTCCCAAACCACATATAACGTAATTCAAAAGTCAAAAACGTCCATCTCAGAAATGAAGTTAGGATACCTACATAAAGACTACTATTTATTTATTTGGAAACATTTACGAAAAAAAAATATATTTCGTATAGAACCCTTACGTTTTTTCACAAATCAAAATTATTTTTAAAAAAAAACTATAAATCTATATTATAAAAAATGTTGAGTAAAATGTACGATTTCCGGTTTAATCAAATTATTAAGAGCTTGAAAATTCTGGGATATTATTATTTTTTTTCCTTTTTATACCTTATTATAGAAAACGTTTTGGTTTTTATAATTTAGTAAAACATATTATCTAGGGGTTGTGAACATTCATGACGAAGAATAATTATTCGATATTTTTATGAGAAAAATAATCACGATAAGCACAGCTGTTTGTTCGAAAAGTTCTGTCTACAGAAACGAAGCGATTCTGTGAATTGCATAAAATCGACAGGTCTGCGTTTATCCAACACTCTGGGAGAATCGTGACGGTGAATCGGAAAAACGGAATAATTCCACACCGGGGGAACACTTTGCTATATAGAACACCTAGACATATAAATTATGTAGACTATTGAGAATAGGTAATATTATATTATAATAGCAAAGCGTAATCACTGCCATTGTCGAAATATTATATCACGTACGACCGTATTATAAATATATATATATTATAAGACGCATTGTGAGATAATCGTAACGCGATCTCTCGTGTAACCACTGAAAATAATAATTATTGTGAAGTTCTGTTTTCGGAGATCTATACGAGTTTTTGAAAATCTGATTTGGGTCGAATACAGTCACAGCCACCGCGCCGCCGCCTCGGTATCAGCTCCGCGGTTGGGCACCCGATAGTAATAATATTTTTATTATTATTACTATTATTATTATTATTATTACTCCTACGTATAATGTATGCGTATAACCTACGGAAGATTGCCGGGTCGTCGGCGGAACCCATGCAAACCGGTTGCGTCCGGAGGTCGTACCAAGGATAATGCGTCTCTACATGACGTCCATGCGTACATTACAGGTAAGTAAGTATAATAATAATATGATGTATTAAAAGCGAACGATGGCGTAAAAACATGTAGTATAATATGCGCTTTGACGTCGTAGACGGTACCTGAGTTTAATGTAATATTATAACAATTATCGTCTGTTTGTCGTACGCAAACACCACCACCACTCCATTGTAGTCGTTTCCGAAACGATATTCTCGAACCTACGCGTTGACAGCCGCTCGAGCACTTATTTTACTAGCATGTACGTATTATGTACCTAGCTACGTTTTTTTTTTTGCAGTTTCATCCTGGCTAATTCTGGCTTTAAATTGCGTGACCTGGAGGTCGAGAGAGTATGAAAAAAACAAATACAAATATACACAAGCATTTGTTCGGCGGCTTAGGATTAATGCCACGGGAGCGATGACGCGTGTTGACGCGTTGGTGGAGGCTATTATTATAGGTTTATATTATAGGTTCTACACTTGCGAGGAAACCACTCGAAACGATATTCAGCCCAGAGGTGTATAATTCGAGTGGTGTCGTAGAATATCGCACTCGAAACCGGTGCGAATCACTCGACGAGTGTGTACCGCAGCGTTTGCTCGGAAAGCTTTCAGTACAATTTTTCCTGGTTAGGACGTAGTTATTGACGAAACATATGAGGAGAAATACTCGACTGTGACGTATGAATGTATGATAGAAAATAACGAATATTTATTATGAAGTTATGCTAATTCATTAGCTCTATGGTACAATTTGCATAGATGTAGCTCAAATAGGATTTCCTTCTTGGCGCTCTCTAAAAAAAAGTCTAACGAGCTCGGCTGAAACGCCGTCTCCGCGCTACCGAATCACTTAGCATAATCTTATTACGAGGAAACGCGGTAATAGTGCCCCGACCTAATATCTTAATGTCGTGTCCCGGTAAAGTAAGGTGAAATATCCTAACAGCAATATATAATAGTTATATACGACGGTTGGTGGTGATAATAATGGAATGCTCTTACAGTGTCTACGGTTGAGAAATCCTACAGAAAACTCGAATTTTTCAACGAAAAAAAAATTGTTCGGAAATTATGCTGCAGGTTTTCGGAATCAATACCACGTTTTGTGGGCACTAACCTAGAGGTTGATAGAGAGAGAGTAAGTGAGAGGTATCTGTCCGTTCTGATAAATAGTTTAGGCACATGCAATTAATATTAGAAATACGATATCGTTTGTATACTGACATTGTGCCCTTAGCGACCGTCATGTTGAGGTTGCTGAGCACGTGGTTTGGCTTGCTCGCTGAACCGTAGTGTTTGAACGCGTGTCGGACGCAAACGGCCTGCTGGCGGCGCGTCCACACGGTGCTTTGTTGGCTGAGCAACGAAGGCGGTTGAAAAGCGGGGTTGACGATTCCTCCGCCGCCGTCCGCTAATCCCACGCTGACGCTACCGCCGCCGTTCCGGGGCTCCATGGCCACCACGTCCGGAGAACTGCCCACGCCGGACGTCATCGTCGCCTTAACGCCGCCGGATTCTTCGTTCCCTTCTCTGTTGGAAAAACAAAAATTAGATATTTCGTATTGTTATTAGAGTCCTCCGAAGAGAGTTTAACACAATAATTACAGGCAATGTGACAGGGACGTATGACATTATAATATTATCATTTAAGCATACCGGGAGATAGGGCCATAATATCCACATTTCGGGTATAGAGTGTAGGAGTATACATAATATTATATAATATGGAGAGTGATGACGGTGTATGCCCGAGGCTTATTCAAGTATAGCCACCTGCACTACCACCCTGTTTAGAAATTTCCCGAATTGGCATGTTTTTTCGAATTCATTATACCACTCGATCGCATACCCGTGGAGTGGACATCACGTCAATATTATACTTCGATCGACGACACGCGAGAAACGACTTCCTAACATATTATTAATATTATACATATTTTATAGTAATAATTTTGGTATACGTAAGGCGTGACGTCAAAAGGGTTGATCGTCAACAGCGACTGTCGGTTCTTAATAAACATTGTACAGGTACACGACTTGTCACGTCGAGTAAGTGAACTGATTACTGAATAAGTTAAATCAATGGTGTAATGTGATAATTTTATCGTATTACAATAAAAGCGTTTGAGACGTTCGAGTGTCCTCTACGACACTCACCGAGTATGACGTTTCCTAAGTGTGCGGATCATTGATGGTATTGAACTAATATTATAATTTTATAACGATTTAAATTTTTTTTAAATCGGTTTTACACTAATAATAGTGTTGTTCCGAGACATTATTTTCGACTCTGCACTGAACCCGTTACTTACGTAATGGACGTATTCATATCAATAGCACCACCGGTCGTGGTTTCACGTTCATCGGACATGTCACTTGTAGATATGAATTAATCGAAACAAATTTATGATACCTTATACGTCTTAATTACACGGTTCTAAGTTGAAATTTCAATTAATTTGATGACGGAGCGAAAAGTTTATGTCTGATAATCAGACCTGTAAACCGGGAATATACTTAGAGGCGAGTGTCAACGTTACGTCTACGCTGACTGCAGCTGAGACGAACTCTAACTGTAGAAGAATTACACAGTATATTTATACAATAATCCATGCTTTGGTTTAAGTAGTGGTATTTCAATGGAAACTCTATAATACAAATCGTCTTATTAGATGTTCTTAAATAAAAACAAATAAACCGAGCATAGGTCCAATTGTCTAAAGGTCTTAACTATTATTACACCAAAAATAGATGATTACACGTATATTATATTATTATGTTTATCACCTAATAATAACAGTCTACAATTTGTTTGATATTGACCTATGCACAAAGGGTTCAGCCAAGTGCGTCCGCAGGATTAAATCCCACCCGGGGCAAGATAAAAATTATTTATAATCTAATATTAGTTATAGCGATATTGATATTAAAGAACATGCAGTTAAAAATTCTTTGGCACCCCCCCCTGCGGGCGCCCATGGGTTCAGCAGTCGGCATTAGAACTATTATATGCCGTTATATCATTATTATTCGTGACTGTACATTATGAAAAAAACATTTGTTTTATTGCTTTAATTTTTTTATTTTTTAGTATACACGACGTTTCCCGAATGAAATTAACGAGTGCAAATCGATATAATATATTTTATGCGCGTCTTGTTAACGTTCAAGTCTCAAGGAGATTCCGCTTCCAATGCAATGTATACAACGATCAACAACGCGTATAATAATTAACAGGTTTATGTATAATATACTTGTACAATTATCGTGGGATTTTCGCTGACATCGCTGTCCACCGTTAATAGTATAGGAGTAATAATATTATTTATGTTTTACATATTGTTATCAATGTGTACTGGAAATGTGAACACAAACGGATAGTGATGGGCAACAATTGTGTGTATCGATATATAAAAAAAACTAGTTCCCGATGCATAAAACAATATTGATATCAAAAATATGTCACGATATCGCGGATATCGTACCGAATTATCGATGTTGCCCATCACTACAAATGGATCCGTAGATCTGTGTATGGTTATAGGATGACTAACTTACTATGTGGTTGATTGACTGGTCACTCGATTTAAGGAATCACCTAATCTAGGATAGATTGCCTTGATAAAAAAAAAAAACTCATAATTTAACATTCAACCGAACATTGGACATGTGTGTCTTCGTTTCCGTACATCTGTTGACAAATCTATTTCCTAGTGACAGACACACTACGTACGTCGTTTTAATATTCATCACGTGAGTGTACATAATATGTAAATACTAATTTGGCGATTTTCACAACTTATCATGTTCGGGACGTTATTTTTCTCTGTCTCTCAATAATATTACTATGGTAATTAAAGGGGCCCGATGAACAAATCTATGATTTGCTATGATATACGACTATAATTTTACGATGTGTGGTTTTTGGATTGTCATGCGACTTATAAATATATTATATTATGTTTGTGGTTTGTCTCAAGTCTTTTCGACACACGATAGCTGTTGTAGTATTTATACACGTCGACCCATCGTCAGTGGTCGATCATCGGAGCTCACATAGGTTAGGTACATATTGCAGCAGTTGTACACCTTGAAAACAATGGTTGCGTTGACCTTACATTTTGAGATTTCGCGGTCGGAATGCGAATATTATGTTTTTTAGCCCTGAACACGCGACTGACTGGACGTCGTCGCCAAGTCAGTTTCACAAGTTTTAATATTTTATATGCCTAAAATGTTATATGGCTTATCGCGTTATATTTGTAGAATTTATATAATATTTTACCCATGTACAATAATTTATTATTATATGGGTTAGAACTTGATTTTTTTAGGTAAAATATAAGATTGAGTCCAACGAGTGACGAAGTGACGTCGACTGGAATCCGGGAAATACGTTTGCATATAGTACGTAGGTGTGACCAGACCTCGACCGCAGAGACGGCATATTATTATTATTTAATAACCGGCACCAAAATATTATGTATGTAACCATCGGTGATAAATTAGGGTGGGTGGGGTAATCACAGGTGTAGAATTTTTTTGGAGCATACACATTAACAATAATATAGTAATTTATCATTTTTTAATAGTATTATTATCAGTGACGATAATCTTGTAGCATATATTTTGGTAAATTATAAGATTTTACACACGTACACACATACAGTATACCTACACACTGTTGTCGGTTACACATAAGCATAAACATTATTATTATTGCTCCATCCAGTCATAACACGAATAGTGTATTTGTAATACATATTTTGTAATATTCATAACTAAAAACTTCTACTACTTTCGCCTTAAGTACATTATTTAAGGAGTTATCCAGAACTAAAAGGTGCTAAATCGATCAAATTTACACTTTTGTTATTTGATAGCGATCTAGATAGCACTATTTGGTTCTTGAGAATAGTGTTAAAACCAAAAGGTTCTATCTATAAGAAGAAAAAAAATTAGTGATAACCAAAAAGTACTATCTCATGTTCACTGTATTAACCATACAATAATAATATGATGGTACAATATTATTAATTATTGTACATTTTTATCAACAAAACAAAGATTTCTATAAATAATTTTAATAAATATACGGTACATTTACCTTAGTCAATATTATTTTTATTTTGGTTTTATTTTAACTGGATGCCTCAACATTAATAATTCTGATCCAAGATCTTGTCAATTATTATCGTTATAATAGAAAAAAATATGTTGTCATCGAGGTTACGAAACCGTACCAATAGTTAATGAAGCTAGCAGAAAAACAAGTTGACATTAACAACAAGTAAGTACCTATAAAATAATACCTAATATATAATTTAGAATTAGGTATAGGTAATAGGTATTCATTTTAAGTGAGATATTTACCTAGGTACTTAAAATATTTTATAGATATAAATTATATTTAATATAATATTATCAATACATTTAATTGAAACATAATGTTTAATATTATTGCAAAGGCTTAAAATTGCTTTTACAAATTAATGCAGCTAATTGCTTAGTACCTACTTATGTTCATTTGATGGCATTATTACCATTTAAAATTTTAAAAGTAGGTAACCCCTTCTACAGGTACGGTCATGTATATAGGTTAGGTTAGGTATCTATTCTACTCAAGTGAAAAGCCAATGCCATGTCATTATTTATTATTTTGAGGTTGGTAACACCATAGTGAAAACATACATTTAATTCAAAACCAAAAAGTTCTAACTAAGTGAAAAAAAAAATATTAACAACCAAAAGGTTCTATCTGAAGAACTTTTTGGTTCTTAACGGAAATTTTTTACATTTTTGTTTTTCTTACGTTACATTTTGATTTTAAGAAAACTAAATCGCTAGTGTTAACTCAGAACAACTTTGTGAATTTTTAGATGTGCTAATCATTAAAAATCATTCATTACGAAAAAAGATTTTACACTTCCTAACACAATGTTTTGTCATAATGACATTTGCTTAAGTTACACTACACACATGCTATACAGACTACAAACAGAAGCAGAGGAACTCGTATAAGTATAATATAATTATGACGTTTGTGTAAAATATTAAAATGACTCCTCGTCGACGTAAAATAAATTATTAATGTGAAAAAAACCAACAACTTAATACACTGGTATAAGACAGTAATTACAGGGGTAATTAATAATTATACGAAACGAATATATGTCGATTAACAATGAATTTGCACTGCAGCGCGGTGTCGAGTGTATAATTGGTTTTTTTCTTGGCGCTTTTGGGAATACAGGGACAGCCGCTCATGCAGCCTCTGTTTCCTATATCTGCATATTATGATATAGGTAGTTACGCCTATGTGTCTGCATATTATTATTATATCTTACACGTCGATATATTATGATATGGTCTGCGTGTGTATAACATAAAATTATCATACATTTGTGGATTGTGGGCCGCACCGATTAAGCGGGTTACCTAATCCAAAGTGAATGTAAACGACCGATCCGGAAACGACGAGCAAGCGTCTCGCAACGGGAATATTATGCCCTGCGGCTTTGCGTGCGTGC